ATATCGGCTCACTGTGCCCTCAGCGCCGTGCTCACAACCTCCCCGATGGTAGCGATGTCCGCGTCGCTGAGCCGCGTGGACGCACAGAAGCGAAGGCTCGCGGCCGCCGTCGCCGGCGCCCCGACGCGGGCGCCGAAGGCGCCCTCCGCGTGCAGTCGGCCAGGCGAGCAGACCTGTGCGCGCACACCAGCAGCCGCACAGCGGGAAGCAATGCCGAGCAAGTGCTCCTTTGGAACGATGCAAACCATGTATCAGACCGGCTCGATGCACGCTTCTGCGCGTGCTGGCACACGCGGCGGCGCGTATCGGGCTGGTCTGGCACGCAGTTGGCGTCGTCAAGTCCTCGGCGAGGTCGGCCGCCCCGGTCCAGCGGAGGTGCTGGACGTACGACTCGGGGCTGCTGGTGAGCTCCACAGCCGCGCTGTTGGCGGCCGCGGCGGTGAGCAAGGTCTCGTGGAGCGCCGCCGACTTGGCCCTGAGCTGCGCCACCTGGGCCGCGCCGTCGTCGCTGGCGAGGTCCGCCATCATCGCGGTTGCCGCGGAGCAAGCTGACGGCGGGCACGCCGCCGAGAAGCAGTAGCCAGCGCCGGCCAGGCGCTGGTGCTCCACCAGGCCTCGCCGGCCCGCGCAGAAGCCCCCCACACCTGCGACGGCGTGCTCGAGGGAGCCCACGATGGCGTCGACGCTGCCCACGTCCACGCCGACGTGCTCGCACAAGCCGCGCCCGTGCGCGCCCAGGGTGCCGAAGGAGAGCGACTCGTCGAGCACGAGCACCGCGCCGTGCTCCTCCTTGAGCTTGACCAGGTCCGCCAGGGGCGCCACGGCGCCCGTCCGCGGGCACAGAGCCTCCACTACGATGAAGGTGCGCCTCAGCACAGCCGCTGCTTTGGACCCTTTGCCCGCCACTGGCAGCGGCTTGGCCAGCGCCGCCCTGACGCCCGCCAGGCTGCCGTGCTCAACCCAGTGGACCTCCGCCCTGCAGAGGCGCAGCCCAGTCCGGATGCCGAGGCTGGCCTCCGTGTCCACCACGACCCGGTCCCCGGGCTGCACGAGCGCGGGCAGCACAGAGGACATGGTGGCGCAGCCGGCGGAGTAGGAGATGGCGGCCTCCGTGCGCAGGAAGCTGACGAGCGCCCTCTCGACCTCGATGTGCGGCATGGTGGAGCCGTAGAAGCCCCGCGGGCCGCACGACCCGAAGCCGTAGACCTGCATGGTGCTGCTGATGGCCTGACGGGCCGACTCCGGCGGCTGCGCCGACCAGCCCAAGGGGTCGAATAGCCGCACGTCCAGCCTGCTGCCCCTGGGCTCCACGGTCACCGCGGCCTCCAGCGCCAGCGCCGAGATGCCCTTCATGGCCGGCGCCGCAGGCGCCACTGCCTCGAAGGCAGCAAAAACATGATCGACCCACCAAGGAAAATAGAAATGTGAGGCATGGCAACGCTTCAAAGACACCTGATTGGGCGACGGGCAAATACAATGCTGAATGTATCGATATTGATGTACCGTGCCGAAGGCTGTGCTGTGCTGGGCCGTGCTGAGTTGCGATGTGCCATGCCACGATTGTGCTCTATACCGTTGTGGATCGAGTCCTCCTTTGCATCCGAGTCCTTACCGAACTGATCTGGATCTTAAGCTCGAGCTGCCTGAGCACATAGTAGCTGCCCCAGAGCTAACTGACAGGGGGACATGCCAGGAGGACGCGCCGCGGAACGTCCCAAGAGACGCGCCAGGCGACGTGCCAGGGGACTTGCCATGGGGACACACCGCGGGACGTGCCAAGGGGGCACGCTACGGAACGATAAAACACGTGGTCCTTGCTCGGGACAACCATGTTAGATATCCCCTTGGATGGCCTGGACACGATAAAACACATGGTGCCAGCTCGGGAAACCATGTTAGATACACCCCGGAATAGCCTGGACACGTTACATGAATGGCAACGTTTCAAAGACACCTGATTCGGCGACGGGCTAATGAAATACTGCATGTATCGATTTTGATGTACCGTGCCGAAGGCTGTGCTGTGCTGCGCCGTGCTGGATTGCGATGTGCCATGCCGCGGTTGTGCTCTATACCGTTGTGGATCGAGTCCTCCTTCGCATCCGAGTCCTGACCGAACTGATCTGGATCTTAAGCTCGAGCTGCCTGAGCACGTAGTAGCTGCCCCGGAGCTAATTGTCAGGGGGACATGCCAGGAGGACGCGCCGCGGAACGTCCCAAGGAATGCGCCAGGCGACGTGCCAGGGGACGTGCCATAGGGGACGCACCGCGAGACGTGCCAAGGGGACGCGCTACGGAACGTGCCAATGGACGTGCCACAGGACGTCCCAGGGGACTCGCCGCGCGACGTGCCAGGGGGGCTCGCCACGGGACGCCCCACAGAACGCGCCAGGGAACGTGCCAGATTGCAGTGCTGAGGTTATCGATCTTGATGTACCGTGCCGAGGGCTGTGCTATGCTGCGCCGTGCTGGATTGCGATGTGCCATGCCACGATTGTGCTCTATACCGTTGTGGATCGAGTCCTCCTTTGCATCCGAGTCCTCACTGAACTGATCTGGATCTTAAGCTCGAGCTGCCTGAGCACATAGTAGCTGCCCCAGAGCTAACTGACAGGGGGACATGCCAGGAGGACTCGCCGCGGAACGTCCCAAGGGACGCGCCAGGCGACGAGCCAAGGGACGTGCCATGGGGACGCACAGCGGGACGTGCCAAGGGGACGCGCTACGGAACGTGCCAATGGACGTGCCAGGGGACGTCCCAGGGGACCCGTGTGTTTTCAGGCTGGCCCCGCCCTGGGGCGTTGGGAACCCATGTGTTTTCATGCTTCTCCCGCCCCGGGGCGTTAGCAACCCATGTGTTTTCGCGCTTGCTCCGCCCTGGGGCGTTAGAAACCCATGTGATTTCACACTTGTCTTGTCCCGCCCTGGGGCGTTAGGAACCGATGTGTTTTCACGCTTCTCGAGCCTTCTGGGGCCTCCTGGGGGGCGGGGGGGGAAGCGAAAAGCGCTCCCCGAGCACATACCCAATACAGAAAAGGGCATCCTGGGGCCTCCTGGGGCGAAAAGCGCACTCCGAACAAGATGTCCCAATTCAGAACAGTGCCTCCTGGGGCCTCTCTCGTGAAGCCTCCTGGGGCCTCCTGGGGCCTCCTGGGGACTCCTGGGGCGTCGGAAACCCATATGCGTTTGCGCTCTTCCCGCCCTGGGGCGTTAGGAACCATATATTTTCACGTTTCTCCCCCGCCCTGGGGCGTTAGGAACCATGTGTTTTCACATTTGTCCCGCCCTGGGGCGTTAGGAACCATGTGTTTTCACGCTTCTCCCCCGCCCTGGGGCATTAGGAACCCATTTGTTTTCAGGCGTGTCCCGCCCTGGGGCGTTAGGAATCGATGTGTGTTTCACGCTTCTCGAGCCGCCTGAGGCCTCCAGGGGGGCGGGGGGAAGCGAAAAGCGCTTCCCGAATACATATTCCACTCCAGAACATATGTAAAATAACATGTTCACCTGAGACATCCTCTGAATCCAGGTCCCCATCAGAGAAACAATATATAAGACAAAACGAACGTTTCGCTCGAGACATCCTCAACAAATTCTGAAAAACAAGCGTTTCGTTCGGGACGTTCTGAAACATGATCGACCCACGAACCCAGAAAGGAATATAGAAATGTAAAGCATGGCGGCGTTTCAAAGACACCTGATTGGAAGACGGGCACATGCAATGCTGAATGTATCGATCTTGCTGATGTACCGTGCCGACGGCTGTGCTATGCTGCGCCGTGCTGAATTGCAATGCGCCATGCCACGATTGTGCTCTATATAATGTTGTGGATCGAGTCCTCCTTTGCATCCGAGTCCTGACCGAACTGATCTGGATCTTAAGCTCGAGCTGCCTGAACACATAGTAGCTGCCCCGGAGCTAATTGACAGGGGGACATGCCAGGAGGACCCGCCACGAAACGTCCCAAGGGACGCGCCAAGCGACGTGCCAGGGGACGTGCCATGGGGACGCACCGCGGGACGTGCCAAGGGGACGCGCTACGGAACGTGCCAATGGACGTGCCGCGGGACGTGCCAGGGGACGCGCCGCGCGATGTGCCAGGGGGACTCACCACGGAACGCGCCAAGGAACGTGCCAAATTGCAATGTTGAGGGTATCGATCTTGATGTACCGTGCCGACGGCTGTGCTGTGCGGGGCCGTGCTGAATTGCGATGTGCCATGCCGCGATTGTGCTCGATATAGCATTGTGGATCGAGTCCTCTTTGCATCCGAGTCCTGACCGAACTGATCTGGATCTTAAGCTCGAGCTGCCTGAGCAGATGGTAGCTGCCCCAGAACTAATCGACAGGGGGACATGCCAGGAGGACGCGCCGCGGAACGTCCCAATGGACGCGCCAGGCGACGTGCCAGGGGACATGCCATGGGCACGCACCGCGGGACGTGCCAAGGAGACGCGCTACGGAACGTGCCAATGGACGTGCACCGCGCGACGTGCCAGGGGGACTCGCCACGGGACGCTCCGCGGAACGTGCCAGGCAACATGCCAGGCTGCAATGCTAAGGGTATCGATATTGTGGACCGTGCCGAGGGTTGTGCTGTGCCTGGGCGACCTGGACACGTGAAAACACGCGTTCCGCTCAAGACGTTCTCAGCAAATCCTCTTGCTAGACATCCGCCTGGGCAACCTGGACACGTGCAAACAAGCGTCTCGATCGAGACTTCCTCGACACATCCTCATGCTAGACATCCGCCTGGGCGACCTGGACACGTGAAAACAAGCCTCTGGTTCGAGACATCCTCAACAAATCCTCACGCTAGTGCTAGACATCTGTCTGGGCAACCTGGAGCGTGAAACCAAGCGTCTCGCTCGAGACATCCTCAAGACATTGGCACGTGAAAACAAGCATTTCACTTGAGAGATCCTCTGGATTCAGGTCCATAGGAGAGGACAATATGTAACATAAAAGAAGCGTTTCGCTCGAGACGTCCTCAATGTTTAATTCGCCGGCCCACCTCGACCCCGATATTCATCGCAAAAGAAATTCGCCTGCCCACCTCAAGTCAAACCCGGAGGTAAACCAACTAAAAGAGAACCCTGGGCTTATTCCCTTTCCGGGAAAAAAAACATCTATAACACAAAACAGACGTTTCGCTCGAGACATCCTCAACAAATTCTGAGAAATAAGCGTTTCGCTCGGGACATCCTCAAACGTAATTCCGCCGGCCCTCTTCCCGTAGGGTCTGGGGGGAAACGCATAGCTCTTTCCGGGAACATGATCGACCCACGAACCTGGAAAGGAATATAGAAATGTAAAGCATGGCGGCGTTTTCAAAGACACCTGATTGGGTGACGGGTAAATGCAATGCTGAGCGTATCGATCTTGATGTACCGTGCCAAGGGCTGTGCTGTGCAGCGCCGTGCTGAATTGCGATGTGCCATGCCGCGACTGTGCTCCATAGCCTTGTGGATCGAGTCCTCCTTTGCATCCGAGTCCTGACCGAACTGATCTGGATCTTAAGCTCGAGCTGCCTGAACACATAGTAGCTGCCCCAGAGCTGATTGACAGGGGGACATGCCAGGAGGACCCGCCACGAAACGTCCCAAGGGACGCGCCAGGCGACGTGCCAGGGGACGTGCCATGGGAACACACCGCGGGACGTGCCAAGGAGACGCGCTACGGAACGTGCCAATGGATGTGCCACGGGATGTGCCAGGGGACGCGCCACGCGATGTGCCAGGGGGACTCGCCAAGGGACGCCCCACGGAACGTGCCAAGGAACGTGCTCCAAAATCACGCTGCGCCCCCGCTCCAGCTGTCACGACCTCTCATAAATTACGCTGCGTCCGCATTCCTAGGGCCACGAACCTTAACAATTCACACTGCGCCCGCGCTCCAAGGGCCCCGATCCCTCGTAGATTACACTGGGGTCGCGCTCCCAGGACCCCAACCCCTCGTAAATTACGTTGCGCCCGGACTCCAAGGGCCACGATCCCAAGTAATTTACGCTGCGTCCGCGCTCACAGGGCCACGATCCTTTGCAAATACGCAGGATCCGCGCTCCCACTGCCGCGATCCCTCGTAAATTACACTGGGGTCGCGCTCCCAGGGCCACGATCCCTTGTAAATTACGCAGGGTCCGCGCTCCCAGGGCCACGATCCCTTGTAAATTACAATGGGGCCGCGCTCCCAGGGCCCCGACCCCTCGTAAATTACGCTGCGTCCGCGCTCCCAGGGCCACGATCCCTCGTTAATTACGCTGCGTCCGAGCTCCCAAGGCCCCGACCCCTCATAAATAACGCGGCGCCCGCGCTCCGAAGAATCCCTTGCAAATTACGCGTGGTCCGCGCTCCAAACGCCACGATCCCTCGTAGATTCCGCGTCCGCGATCCCAGGGCCTCCTGGGGTATGCTGGGGCGCCCAGGTCCCTCAAATTAATAAGCGTTTCGCTCGAGACATCCTCGATTTTTTGGCGCGGGGGGCGCACCATCCTCGAGCGGGCACGCAAAAATTCCTGTGTGGCCAAGGAAGTCATGGAAAAACAAGCGAATTAGTCGAGACATCCTCGAAATTCCTGCGCGCGGGACGCGGCACGCGCGAGACATCCTCGGAATTTCTGCGCGCGGGGCGCTTTTCCGCGTCGCGGTCGAGGCTCCGGACCTTGGTTTGTTTCGATGATTCTGCTGAAAGTGCCCCGCACCTTCTTTCACTAAGGAAAACGCATTTGTTTCACGCCGAATTGGACTTTACCTCGTTTTTTATCGAGCGGAAATCTGCCGGCCCTCTTCCGGGGGGGATAAACCAGCTAAAAGAGAACCCTGGGCCTGCACCCTTTCCGGGAAGCACTGCATGACCGGAAATCTTCGGAGGTCCGCGCGGATTTCCTGGATCGGCGCTGAGCCCTCCTCCCTGGCGCGCGGGACGCGCCCGGGGCAGCGCCGGAGGCGCCGCAAGGAGGCCCCAGCGCAGATCCGAGAAGTCCACGCGGAGCTCCGAAGGCTTACGTTTTGCGCAGCTTTGCCTTCTCTTCGGGCCTCGGGGGCCCACTCTGAGGCCGCCGGGGCCAGCGCCGCGCGGCCTCGGAGCTCCAGGGGGGCGTCGCGGAGCCAGGCGGCGTAGGCGGCGTCGAGCGCTGCGCGGGCCGTGAGCTCGGCGCGGCCGAGGGACTTCTCGAAGAGGACGCCGATGCTCCTGCCAATCTCGGTGACCGCGCCGATGACCTCGGCCAGTTGCTGCCGCGTGTGCGAGGCGGAGATGCAGAAGCGGACCCTATCCGGGAGGACGCCAACTAGAAATCCTCCTCCTCCTCCTCCTCCTCCTCCTCTCTCCTCCTCCTCCTCCTCCTCCTCCTCTCCTCCCCTCCTCCTCCTCCTCCTCCTCCTCCTCCTCCTCCTCCTCCTCCTCCTCCTCCTTCCTCCTCCTCCTCCTCCTCCTCCTCCTCCCTCCTCCCTCTCCCTCCTCCTCCTCCCTCCTCCCTCCTCCTCCTCCTCCTCCTCCTCCTCCTCCTCCTCCTCCTCCTCCTCCTCCTCCTCCTCCTCCTCCTCCTACACTGATCCTGGCCGGAGCCATCCTGGGCCCACGATCGGTGGTACACGCCTTCGTGGCTTGGCCCAGGAAGGCCGATGCACCGATCCTGGGCCCAAGGTCGGCCTGTCCGGCATCGGTATACCATCAGGAACTTTTGCGTAGCGTGTCGCGGCGGCGGCCCCGGCGACACGCTATGCTCTGCGAGCGGACTTCGCGTCACGCCGCTCCTCGGGGCGGGAGGCGGGGGAAGGCTCGGGACGTTGACGCTGAGAAATGGGGACGTGGACAGCGAGTCACGCCGAGGCTTGGTGGGCCAGGACTGGCGGAGCGACGCGCTAAGCCAAAGTTCCTGACCGTAGGTGTGTTGTTGGCGTCCTCCGACCTTTCGTACAGCACGGGCACGGCAGGGTAGCCAACGATGACGACGGCGATCCCCCGCTCGAGGCACGCGCGGGAGAACTTGGCCATCTTGTTCGGGTGGTGGAGCATCACTGGCACGATGGGCGAGTCCACGTCGCCCAGCACCTTGAAGCCCTCCTCCTCCAGCCGGGACCTGAAGAAGTTGGCGTTGTCCCGGATCTGCGCCAGCTTCTGGGCGCCAACGCTGCCTCCGATCTCCCCCGTGATGAGCCGCAGCGCCGCCAGGGCCTGGGCGGCGCACGGCGGCGCCATGGCGGAGGCGGCGGCGCTGCCGGGCGCGTTCCGCCGCAGCGCGCTGATGACCTCCTTCGATGCGGCGACGTAGCCGCCGGCGCTCCCAAAGGACTTGGTGAACGTGCCCATCATCACGTCGACCTCGTCCGTGGGCACGCCCAGCAGCTCGGTGACGCCTCGACCAGTGGCGCCCACCGCTCCGATCGAATGGGCCTCGTCCAGGTACAAGTACGCCTTGTCCGCCACCGCGCCCCCTGGGCACGCTGAGGCGAAGTAGAATGCCAAGCGCTGTCTGGCAAGGGCTCTGTAGCCTCTCTGTGGGCGCATCCTCTCATCACCCTTCCTTGCGAGCACGTGCACTGGCTCTCCCTCCTGAGGCTCCCCGGGCACCTCAAAGTCTCCCTGAGCGCTCAGCAGCGCTTCCCAGGGAGGTCGGCGAGGCCGCCAGGATGGCCCAGCATCGCCTCAAGACGCACTCAAGAGCACCAAAGAAGCGCCCAATCCGCCGACCCTGTCGGCGTGTGAGAGGGGTCTGTCTGTTCGAGTCGTCGTCTGTCCGAGTCGTCGTTTCCGTCGTCCCCGTTCCCTGCACCTTCATCCTCAAGCCTGTCAGCGAGAGAAAAACATGATCGACCCACGAACCTGGAAAGGAATATAGACATGTAAGGCATGGCAACGTTTCAAAGACACCTGATTGGGCGACGGGCAAACGCAAGGCTGAGTGTATCGATCTTGATGTAGCGTGCCGAATGCTGTGCTGTGCAGCGCCGTGCTGAATTGCGATGTGCCATGCCGCGATTGTGCTCTATAGCGTTGTGGATCGAGTCCTCCTTTGCATCCGAGTCCTGACCGAACTGATCTGGATCTTAAGCTCGAGCTGCCTCAGCACATAGTAGCTGCCCCAAAGCTAATTGACAGGGGGACATGCCAGGAGGACGCGCCGCGGAACGTCCCAAGGGGCGCGCCAGGCGACGTGCCAAGGGACGTGCCACAAAGACGCACCGCGGGACGTGCCGAGGGGACGCGCTACGGAGCGTGCCAATGGACGTGCCACGGGACGTGCCAGGGGACGCACCGAGCGACGTGCCAGGGGGACTCGCCACGGGCCGCGCCACGGAAAGTGCCAGGTTGCAATGCTAAGTGTATCGATCTTGATGTACCGTGCCGAGGGCTGTGCTGTGCTGCGGCGCTGTGCTGAACTGCGATGTGCCATACCGCGATTGTGCTCTATAGCGTTGTGGATCGAGTCCTCCTTTGCATCCGAGTCCTGACCGAACTGATCTGGATCTCAAGCTCGAGCTGCCTCAGCACATAGTAGCTGCCCCTGAGCTAATTGACAGGGGAACATGCCAGGAGGACGCGCCGAGGAACGTCCCAAGGGACGCGCCGGCGACGTGCCAGGGGCCGTGCCACGGGGACGCACCGCGGGACGTGCCGAGGGGACGCGCTACGGAACATTAAAATGCGTGGTCCTCGCTCGGGGCAACCATGTTGGATATCCCCCTGGATGGCCTGGACACCTAAAAACACATGGTGCCAGCTCGGGAAATCATGCTAAAAAACACCCCTGAATAGCTTGGACTCGTTACAACACGTGGTCCTTGCTCAGCACAATCATATTACATACCCCCTGGGTGGCCTGGATACGTAAAAACACGTGGTTCAAGATCGGGACAACCATGTTGCATATCCCCCTGGGCGGCCTGGACACGTAAAAACATATGGCTCCAGCTCGGGACCACCATGTTAGATACCCCCCTGGGTGGCCTGCACACGTAAAAACACGTCCAGCCCACCCAGGGGGGATATCTAACATGGCGTCGTCTGGAGCGCAGGAGGGCCCAGGAACGCCCCGCCTGGAGGTCCAAAAGTAAACGAATCGATACCAAATACAAATAAACTCTCGACGTCCGTTCCGAGTCCCAGGAAGGATCCAGGAGGCCCATGTTAGATACCCCCTGAGTGGCGTGGACACGTGAAAACACGTGGTTCCAGCTCGGGACCACCATGGTAGACGCCCCCCTGGATGGCGTGGACACGTGAAAACACGTGGTTCACCAGCGTTTCGCTCGAGATATTCTCAACAAATTCTGAAAAACAAGCGTTTCGCCTGAGACGTCCTCAAAAATAATTCCGCAGGCCTCCTTCAAACGCGTCATTTATCGCAAAATAATTCCGCCGGCCTCCTTTAAGTCAAAGCCGGGGGTACCAATACTAAAAGAGAACCCTGGGCCTCTGCCCTTTCGGGGAATTAGCAATGTGGCTATCGAATGGAAGGAAAGCCCCTTCCCTTTGATCCCTCCCCCGTCGAGGGAGGGGGCCCGGGGAGGGTCCCGGGTGAGATACGCATCTCCCGGGGGGGGTCCCGGATCAGATACGCTTCCCCCCGGGGGGTCCTGGGCCCGCAAAAAATACCAAGACGGGCCAAGAGTGGCCCAAGAGGTCCCCGAGACGGTCCATGAGGGCCCAAATCGCCAAACGATCGGTCCTAAACTCTTTCTCGCCGCCCAGGCTGCCCAGGAGACATCCAAGACGCTCCAACAGGCCTCCAAGAGCACTCCCAAGAGGACCCCAACAAGCAAAATGCAGTGATGTTCCTTCAGTTTTTGCAAGGTTTGGGTGCTCTCGCCTTCTCCGCGTCCCGCCGCACCAAGACGGTCGAAGAGGGCTCCCAGATCGCCCCAAGACGGCCCAAGAGGCCTCCAAGAGGGCCCCGAAACAGCCCGCCCAAAACGCCTCCAAGGCGGCCCCGGAGGCCTCCAAGACGGCTTTAAGAGCATGCCCAGACGGGGGCCCGAACGAACATTTCGAGCCCACGGCCCCGAGAGGCTCCCATAAGGCCCCAAGAGGTCCCCAAGAGGCCCCAAAAGGCCCACAAGAGATCCCCAGGAAGCCCGAAGAGTATCCCAAGAGGCTCCCAACAGGCTCCCCAGAGGATCCTGAGAGGCCCCAACAACTGCTCCCCAAAGGCCCCCGAGAGCCTTCCGAAGAGACCCCAAGGAGCATCCCTGAGGACTATGGCTCACGCCAGCGTCGTCGTCGTCGTCGTCGTCGTCGTCGTCGTCGCCGCCGCCGCCGCCGCCGCCGCCGCCGCCGTCGTCGTCGTCGTCGTCGTCGTCGTCGTCGTCGTCGTCGTCGTCGTCGTCGTCGTCGTCCTCGTCCTCGTCCTCGTCTTCGTCCTCGTCGTCGTCGTCGTCGTCGCCGTCGTCGTTGTCGTCGTCATCGTCTCCCTTCAGGGTCGGCGGCACCGGCCGTAAGGCCTTGGCAATATGTCTCAAGAGGCCTCCAATACGCCCCGAGGCACCCTCAAAGAAGCCCTCCCGGCCGAAAAACGATGGTTTGCCTTTGATGTTTCCATGCTTTCCGTTTTCCACTCTCTTCGGTCGAAGAACCATCCAATTGAAGTCTCCGAGGGCCCAAAGGGGCCTACTGAGAGTCCCAAGAGGGCCCCTAGTCGGCCCAGGACGGCCCCAAGGGAGCCCCAAGCTGGCGAAAGAGGGCCTCCGAGGGACCCAAGGCGGCCTAAAAAACGGCCCCAACCGACTCTCAGACGGCTGCGAAAGCCCCAAGACGGCTCAATAGGGCTCCAAGACGGCCCGGGAGGGCCCTGAGACGGCTCAAGAGGGCCACAAGGGGGCCCCAAGAGGGCCGCACAAGAGACCACGATGGCCCTCTGGTTGGCCCAAGTAACCCACGAGACACCCTCAAGGGATACAGACGAGGAGGTGTCACATGTTACGGGCTTCTGGGAAGTGCCCAGAGCATCACCACGCTAAGAGCTGCGCTGGCACGACGGCAGGACTTGCCGCAGGCAGCTGGATAGCGGTTCTTCAACGTCACTATCTCGCGCAGGCGGCAGAAATCCCCCTCCATCGAGTAAATCCCCTCTACGACGACGAAAACCTTGCGCCAAGGCTTGCCACTGGGCTGTCCCTCTTCCACTGCCCTCTTCAACTCGGCCTCCAGATCGGCCATGTCATTGTGCGAGAATGCACGGACCGTGGCGCCAGAGAGCCGTACGCCCTCAACAATGGACCGATGGTTCAGCTTATCGCTCAGCACGAGCACCCCCGCCCCGCCCGCTCTGGCCTCGAACAGGGCAGGGAGAATAGTGGAGTTCGTTGCGAAGCCCATCCCGAGGACCATGGCATCCTCCTTTTGTAAGTACTCGGCGATCTGCTTCTCAAGCTCCAAGTGGATAGGCATGGTTCCGCCCTCTGTGCGAGTTCCGCCCGCCGAGAAACCACTCTCCAGGGCGGCAGCCCTAGCCACAGGGGTACAGAACTCGTCGACCCCGCCGAAGCCCAGGTAGTTATATGATGCCAAGTTAACGCATGTCGTCGTGTCGGAGGTGCACTGGAAGTCGTGGAGAGGCCGAAACCACAGACCGCCACAGCGTTCACGTTTCACGACATTGACGCAGGCGTCTGGGGCGGAGGCTATGGGACGGTTGAAACAGTCTGCAATGTTCTTGTACATGTGCTGGAAATCCGCCGACCCTGTCGGCGGGTACAGTCAAACCCAGGCCAAAAGAACACACCTACAGAACATGAGGCCTCCGTCGACCAAAGCAGACAGAACATCCAAGGGTGCTCTCCCCAGGATGCACAAGAGCATCCAACACACACACACACACACACACACACACACACACACACACACACACACACACACACACACACACACGCGCACACACACACGCACACACACACACACACACACACACACACACACACACGCGACAAACACTAGGGTACTCTTCCCGAATCGACTTCGGCCTCGATCTTAGAATCCGAGCAAACAAGCGAGACCCTTGCAAAGTCCAGTACGTCGGAGCGTTCCAGCCCAGGCTCCGAAGGGAAACCACCCCAACCCACCAGCCAAAGTGGAGCGCTGCAGAGGTCGCCAGCCCAAGGGAAACCGCGTCTGGTCCTAACCATGTCGAGGAGAACCTTTTTTTTTGGGGGGGGGGGGGGGGGAGCCATTCCCTCGCCGGGAGGGGGCTCGGGGGCGGGTCGCGGAGGGGGCGAACGGGGGTCCCAACAGGGGTGCGTCCCCACCCACCCCCCTGGCCGAATGATATGCCCATGGGGGGGGCGGGGCCCGAGGAGGGCGCCGGGTCGGAGTGCGCTCCCCCCTCCCTTCCATTTTCCTTTGGGGCGATCCTCTGGCCAGCTTGGCCCTCTGTCGGCAACGCGGGCCCAAGGCCCACAGGATCTCCGCAGGGCGACCCAGTGCCAAAGATAGGGTAACAAACAATGGCATAAACATAAAACTCGGAAGTCCGCGCGGATTTCTTGGATCGGCGCCGGAAGCGCCGCCAGGGGGCCCCAGCGCTGGTCCGAGGAATCTGCACGGACCTCTGGGTTTTCATTTTTATGTCTGCTCGTTCCCCTAAAAAATGGTCCAAGGTGGCCCCAGAGGCCCGCAGTGCCCAAGAGGTGGAATGCACAAGTACTCTCCTTCCTGCAATCCCACCCAACAAAGGCGGGCACCTTCTCTTTCCCACCTCCGCGCCCCACGCCATGCGCGCCCGGCGCAAGCCCGCTGTGATTGAGTGAAACGAGTGGGTCGCGCAGGACGCTCCTCCTCCTCCTCCTCCTCCTCCTCCTCCTCCTCCTCCTCCTCCTTTGCCTCCTCCTCCTCCTCCTCCTCCTCCTCCTCCTCCTCCTCCTCCTCCTCCTCCTCCTCCTCCTCCTTCTCCCTCTCCTCCTCCTCCTCCTCCTCCTCCTCCTCCTCCTCCTCCTCCTCCTCCTCCTCCTCCTCCTCCTCCTTCTCCCTCTCCTCCTCCTCCTCCTCCTCCTCCTCCCCCTCCTCCTCCACCTCCTCCTTCTCCTCCTCCTCCTCCGGTGCTGGAGGCCCTGGCCCACGGTGCGTGGACCGCCAGCCTCGCGGAGGCAAAGGGAGGACCCAAACATGCTCTGGGCCCGTGGGGGCGTACAGTCGGGGCATTGACCTGAGGAACCCTGAACACGGAACGAGGCCCTTTTTCCCGCAAATTAAATTTCGATGCCTCCATTCCCAATCCTCACCATCATCCTCACCGCTCGCCGTCGTCGCAGCAACGGAAACGTCCCGGATCGGCGGCACTGGCCGGAGGCCACTACAATACGGAACGAGGCCCATGTTCCCCGTAAGAGAAACGTCGATTTCCCATGGGGAACCCAAGGAAAACCCAGGGCAAACTGCAAAACAACCAAGGAGCACCGAGCCCCTCCCCAACGAGAAGGGCTCCTCCTTCAGCGCCCTGGCTGTGGAGGAGGAGGAGGAGGAGGAGGAGGAGGAGGCGGAGGCGGAGGAGGAGGAGGAGGGGGAGGGGGAGGCGGAGGAGGAGGAGGAGGGGGAGGAGGAGGAGGAGTGAGGAGGAGGAGGAGGAGGAGGCGGAGGAGGAGGAGGAGGAGGAGGAGGAGGAGGAGGAGGAGGAGGAGAGAGGAGGAGAGGAGAGGAGGAGGCGGAGGGAGGGGGGAGGGGGAGGGGGAGGGGGAGGAGGAGGAGGAGGAGGAGGAGAGGAGGAGGAGGAGGAGGTATGGAGGAGGGAGGAGGAGGAGGAGGAGGAGGGAGGAGGAGGAGGAGGAGGAGGGGGGAGGAGGGGGGAGGAGGAGGAGGAGGAGGGAGGAGGAGGAGGAGGAGGAGGAGGGAGGAGGAGAGGAGGAGGAGGAGGGGAGAGTGAGGAGGGGAGAGAGGAGGAGGGAGGAGGGACGCGGAGGCGCGAGACGCAGGAGGAAGGAGTGGAGGAGCAGCCCCGTGGAGGCGAAGCTGCCACCCAGGAGGCGGCCCGTGGGCCCGCGGGGCGTGGGCCGCACGCCTCGCGCGGAGGCGGAGAGGAGGCCCGAAGAGGATCCCGACCCGCGGGGCGTGAGCCGTCCGACTCAGGGAGGCGAAAGCAGCGGGCGCGCTGGCGGCGGCACTCCTCCTCCCGCCTCCTCCCCTCCTCCTCCTCATCCTCCTCCTTCCCCTCCTCCTCATCCTCCTCCTCCTCATCCTCCTCCTCCCTCCTCCTCCTCCTCCTCCTCCTCCTCCTCCTCCTCCTCCTCCTCCGCCTCATCCTCCTCCTCCTCCTCCTCCTCCTCCTCCTCCTCCTTCCTCCTCTCTCCTCCTCTCCTCGCCTCCTCCTCCTCCTCTCCTCCTCCTCTCCCCCTCCTCCTCCTCCCCTCCTCCTCCGCCTCCTCCTCCTCCTCACCTCCTCCTCCTCCTCCTCCCGCCTACTTCTCCTCCTCCTCCTCCCGATCTCTCCTCGATCTCCTCCTCGATCTCCTCACTCCTCCCCTCCTCCTGCTCCTCCTCTCCTCCTCCTCCGCCTCCTCCGCTCCTCCTTCCTCCTCCTACCTCCTCCTCCTCCTCCTCCTCCTCCTCCTCTCCTCCTCCTCCGCCTCCTCCTCCTCCTCCTCCTCCTCCTCCTCCTCCTCCGCATCCCTCCACTCCTCCTCCTCCTCTCCTCCTCCTCATCCTCCTCCTCTCATCCTCTCCTCCTCCTCCTCCTCATCCTCCTCCTCCTCTCCTTCCTCTCCTCCTCCTCCTCCTCCTCCTCCGCATCCTCCCTCCTCCTCATCCTCCTTCCTCCTCCCCTCCTCCTCTATCTCCGCTTCCTCCTCTACCCCTCCTCCTCCTCCCCTCGATCTCATCCTCACTCAGGGACGCCTCCTCCTCCTCCTCCTCCTCCTCCTCCTCTCCTCTCTTCCTCCTCCTCCCCCTCCTCCTCCTCCTCCTCCTACCTCCTCCTCCTCCTCCTCCTCCTCCTCCTCTGTCTCCTCCTCCTTCGTCTTCCTCTCCCAAGTGTTCCCCTGAGGGGTTCCAAACGGCTGGGGGAACACATAGTCCAATAGCTTGGCTGGTAAGACCACATAAGTTATGGTCCAAATCCGTTTCTCCCCATAGGTTTTTGAAGGATTTGGGCATTTGCTTCTTGTCGGCCTTCAGGCGGCCCAAGACGGCCCAAGGGGCCCCCAAGATCGCCACCAGAGCGCCCAAGAGGTCTCCAAGAAGAGGCCCCCAAGACGGCTCAAAGAGGGCCCCAAGACGGCCCAAGAAGCCTCCATGGCGCCCAAAGAAGGCCCCAAGACCGCCCAGAGTGTCCCCCAAGACGGCTTTCGACGGCGCCAAATGGGCCAGGAACGCACTAAGACGGCCAGAGGCCCCCAAGAAGCCCCGTAAATGCTCCCAGTAGGCCAAGGAAGCTCCCAATGGGCATCCAAGAGGCCCCCGGAAAGCTCCCAGGAGACCCCAAGAGTGCCCCAAGAGGCTCCTAAGAGGCCTTCTCCTCCCCCTCCTCATCCTCCTCCCCCTTCCTCCTGCTACTCCTCCTCCTCTTCCTCCTCCTCCTCCTCCTCCTCCTCCTCCTTTTCCCTCCCTCTCCTCCTCTCCCCCACGTGTTCCCCGAAGGGGCTCCACAACGGCTGGGGGAACACACAGTCCCATGGCTTGGCCGAGCTCTGGCCAGCACGTTCGGCCACATGGGCGCTTCCAAACAGGCAGTGGGCGACGGTGGTTCGCCGCAGGCGCCTTCGACAGAGGTGGTACGGCGCCTTCGACAGAGGTGGCACGGTATGGTTCGGAGAATCGTCGGCCTGCCCTCGTGCGCTCCTCGGCTCCCCTCGCGCCCTTCCTGGGGCAGCCTGATCCCCCCCCGTCGGGGTCGACGGAACAAGTCCGCGAGGCCCCTTCGATAGAACTCTACCCAGCCGGAGTTCCACTGATCGCGCCCGATGTGCTTCCTGCACGGTTTCCCCCCGGGCCGTAGGCGACCCGACGAGGAGGAGGAGGAGGAGGAGGAGGAGGAGAAGGAGGAGAAGGAGGAGAAGGAGGAGGAGGACGAGGAGGATGAGGTGGAGGAGGAGGAGTAGGAAGAGGAGGAGGAGGAGGAGGAGAGAGGGAAGAGGAGGAGGAGGAGGAGGAGGACGGTTCGCCTAAGCCCTTCGGAAAAACCCTCCAGTGCTTCCTCGCCAGCGCACTCCCGCACACGGCCCAGATCCGGATGATGTACTCACGGGCGGCCCCGAGCACAAACAGCCTGAGGTAGCCCCAGTACGCGTGCGCCTCTCGCGAGCGGAAAACATACAAATGTCCACGATCTCGCGGGCTCTGCCTTCGTCCTTCCTCCTCCCTCCTCCTCCTCCTCCTCCTCCTCCTCCTCCTCCTCCTCCTCCTCCTCCTCCTCTCCTCCTCCTCCTCCTCTCCTCCTCCTCCTCCTCCTCCTCCTCCTCCTCCTCCTCCTCCTCCTCCTCCTCCTCGTGCCAGCGCGCCTCCACGGGACCGCGAGGGCCGGAGCCGGGCGAGCCGAGAGACCGCGGGGGCTCGAGCTCCGTCCCTGGACCCCTCCCGGGGCCCAAGCGCACCCGTGCCGCACGGGCTGCGTCCAGCCGCGGCGACGCGGTGGGCCCCCCCAAAGGCCGACTGCCGTTCCGTCTCGGCCCGCCCTCCTCCGGGAGGGCGCGGACGTGGATGCGCTCGCCGCTCGGTCTCGTCTGCCCGCAGGAGCGACC